ATAGATTTTTCGGGTGTTTAGGTTTTGAGTTTATAGGAGTTATACTGGTTTTTAGCTTTAGCTTTTCAAGACCTCTTCGAATTGTTTTTGATTAAATTAGAGAATGCAACAAGGGTTAGTTGCGAGAAGGAAATATGTTTAAAAACATTTCTTACTGAACTAATTGTGAGTTCTCCCTTATTGTAGGGGTTTTCTCTCTACTTGTGCAAAGCATATATTTTTCTTGGGGTCCTTCCTGATGGAAGTTTTCTTAATTCTTTTAGGATCATTATTAGTTATCCATACTCTTGTTGACTCGTTTCACATCTTTTAATTTTTCTCTCTACTTTTATTCATTCTAATTCTTTAACCATGATTTAATTTCACATTTTCTATTCTCATCTCTTTTATCTGCTCTAACTAGTTCATTTTGCTACAATTCTTAATTCAGATTGTCAGATCATTTGCATACTTCCAACGCATACAGGNCTATCTGCTACAATTCTTAATTCAGATTGTCAGATCATTTGCATACTTCCAACGCATACAGGCGCCAAGAGGTTTTTGTTGTGTGGTCTTTGGCATTCAATGGAAGATGAAATGGAGAAACTTTGGCTGAACTTTAAACTTATTGGGGAGGAACAAACCGATTTAAATATTTCTAATAGTTTTGATGATGTTATGGACAAGAAGGGAAGATTGTGTATGTTGGAAAAACTGCAGTATGAAAGACCTTTTAATAAAGTGGCTATTAATGAAATTGTGGGTTGTGGGGTTCCAAATATTATAAAATCATTTATTGAAATTTTTGATTTGAAACATGTAAAGTATAGCAAAATAGTATCAATCAAATGCAAAACAGTTACACATAAACAATCTTACACGAAAGAGTTACAGGAAANGAAGATTGTGTATGTTGGAAAAACTGCAGTATGAAAGACCTTTTAATAAAGTGGCTATTAATGACATTGTGGGTTGTGGGGTTCCAAATATTATAAAATCATTTATTGAAATTTTTGATTTGAAACATGTAAAGTATAGCAAAATAGTAGCAATCAAATGCAAAACAGTTACACATAAACAATCTTACACGAAAGAGTTACAGGAAAGAGTTACAACAATCTTACGAAACTGTAACAGCAAACTGTTACACGTAACTATTTGTCAAACCAAAGTAATACTAACCCAGTTGCAGAACAGGAACTGTTATTGAAATTGATGTAGATCAAAGCTAGTGTTTGACACTATGTCCTTAAAACAGATTTCGCCCCCACGCACGGTATTTATGGAATATCGAGCGTCTGCCCCAATCTACTCATCCTGTGAACCAAANTGTAACAGCAAACTGTTACACGTAACTATTTGTCAAACCAAAGTAATACTAACCCAGTTGCAGAACTGGAACTGTTATTGAAGTTGATGTAGATCAAAGCTAGTGTTTGACACTATGTCCTTAAAACAGATTTCGCCCCCCCACACGGTATTTATGGAATATCGAGCGTCTGCCCCAATCTACTCATCCTGTGAACCAAAATTGTATTTGTGTACTCTCCAAATACAGACTCCTTAATGTCAAAATGCAATGCTTTAATGTTTGGCTTAATTCTGAATATGACTGATGATTGTAATGAATGCAAAATGGTAATGTGTGTTTGGGTATTTATAGACATATTAGCGACTGTACGGATAGCCACTATCCTATAAGACAACCCAGGAAGACAAGTGTAAGCCAAAAGACACCACTTGTAACAATTTTCTATGAACAGTCACAACTAAATTTTGANCAGACTCCTTAATGTCAAAATGCAATGCTTTAATGTTTGGCTTAATTCTGAATATGACTGAAGATTGTAATGAATGCAAAATGGTAATGTGTGTTTGGGTATTTATAGACATATTAGCGATTGTACGGATAGCCACTATCCTAAAAGACAACCCAGGAAGACAAGTGCAAGCCAAAAGACACCACTTGTAACAATTTTCTATGAACAGTCACAACTAAATTTTGAACTAGAGGGAGGCAAAATACCGAAAATTAAATTTCGGGATAAGAAATTCATGCCCATTAATAAAATAAATTTTCTCTAAAAAGATAGGGTTTGGTCTAAATCACACCCATAGCCGAGCCTGGTCGGGTCGGGTCAAGTCGTGGCTTGGCGAGCGGCATGCTCACGTGTGTGGTCGAGCCGAAGGCATATAAATGCTCGCTCCGCTCATAAAATTGTGGTACCCCTTGGGGCCCAATCCCATAAAGCAAATTTAGCNTCCATAGCCGAGCCTGGTCGGGTCGGGTCAAGTCGTGGCTTGGCGAGCGGCATGCTCACGTGTGTGGTCGAGCCAAAGGCATATAAATGCTCGCTCCGCTCATAAAATTGTGGTACCCCTTGGGGCCCAATCCCATAAAGCAAATTTAGCCTATATATGCTCATGTTGAATTTCTTCCTCAACCAATGTGAGATTGGTGTTAAATTTCATATTGTACAATCTTTATTTTTACATTTTAAGTAAATCACTTTGGAGCCTATTTTCTCATTTATTTCTTACTCGATTTGAGCAAGTGAATATACTACATTATTGTCGTTACGGAATAAAATATGAACCCACAAAAGTTTATTCGAAATAACTAACAGGTCCCACTTTAATTTAGGCTCAAAGTCAACCANGTCGTTACGGAATAAAATATGAACCCACAAAAGTTTATTCGAAATAACTAACAGGTCTCACTTTAATTTAGGCTCAAAGTCAACCAAAAATTTAATTTTTACACTTAAAAAACTGTTTTGGTCCAACAGACATTGGTTTGGAATGCACTGAGTATGGAATTTAGGGATTTGGGTGATAACCTATTCTTGTTTCAATTCATAAATATGGTGGATAAAAAGAGGGTGTTAGAGGGCATGCCATGATCCTTTGATAACCATCTTCTACTATTAATGGAGTAAGAAGGAAACACACAAGCATCGAAGATTCAATTTGGTCAATGACCGTTTTGGATCCAAGTATACACTCTACCATTTAATAGCATGATCATGTCACTGGCAAGATCATTGGGGACTATATTGGTATGGAAACCGATTTGAATCATCAAGGCATTGGTTAGGGCAGGTGTCTACAAATTAGGGCTATTTTGGAAGTAACTAAAGCTCTCCATAGGGGCATGAACGTTAGAGGAGCAGAAGAGCATTTCCTTTATAGTGTTTTTCAATTATGAGAAGTTGCCAAATTTTTGTGATTACTGTGGGTGCATTGGCCATGGAGAGAAGGAATGCTCAGTGACACTGGATTCGCACGGTCCTTCTACTCATGGTTCAACACAATTTGGTATTTGTTTATGAGCATCAAGGGTAAAAGTTAAGAAGGATTTCCTACCAAACAAATCTACTAAAAAAGTTAACCATAGCGAAAACAACGGGGGATCAATCACCAAAGTTGAATTAGAATTGTCGAGGAAAGCTTCCCTAGTTCAAATAATGAGACTCATTAGCTGTTAAATGTGGTAGTGATTGAAGGTATTCCCATTGATTTAGGGGATTCTCATATTTTGAACATGAGAAGGAAAGAAGGGGTTGATTGCGAGAATAAAGGGGTCAATACGATTTCCTATGACAATGATATGGAGAATTTTTGGGTTGATTGATTTCAAATTAAAGGGGAAACGCCCCCAAAACCCCCTTGGATGGCATCACAATCTAAAATCATTTATATCATGAGAGAAACTAATAAAATTCATAAATAAAAATAATTTTATTCATCATCCATAATGTATATAACATCATTCCAAAAGAATATGTCAAACCATGGTCATTACATCCCAAAAGAATTAACTATTATCTCGCAGCGGAATAACAAAATATGGTAGCCTTTACATTGTCTCAAAATAAATTCCCTAGTCTAGAACCTAGGACAAAAGAGAATATAATTCTAGATGTCCATCTCGGAATCCACATTCTCATCTATTGGAGCTTCCCAATGTGCTTGTTCATCTAATCCGAGCTCATTCTCTAACACATAATCTGAAAAATATGTTGTTTGTAGGGGGTAAGCACTAAGCTCTGTAATAATATCCTTCCAAACTCGAACAAGATTTAGAAAACATATAAAATAGTTCAGTCTCACTTTACAAAATATCATACATAATTTTGAAAAAAAATAAGGACATTTCAAATAGATCTCAAGTTTAAGTAAGAGCAATAATTTAAATGAAAGGAATAAACATGTTAGAGCGATAGAAATCAAACAATCATTCAACAACATAATCCCACATTCTCCGGTATGTTGGTTGCTTCACATGAATCTACACCACGATTCTAACTCGTTCACCCACCACAATCATACAATCCCAAATATTTTTAGGATGGGCGTATACCATTTCTTATGGTATTGACAAATCCTTTCTAGGAAAGGTATACTATCCCTTAGCCTCGAACTTACGTGAACAATAGTGGTTGTTCTCACAAACAATAAACCACTACACGTGTTAGGAAACCATCTCACCCCCANTATGGGAGCAGCTAAAATGCTGTTTGAGGGCTACAATAGACATTATCTGGGGAAATTCAACCGGGAGTCAAGCTGTCATTTTCTTTTTATGATGGATTAATGCAAGTCCTGCCTCTCTATCTCCATCTGCAATGCAAACTAGTGAGGCAAAATTTGAACAGTAATCTTTTGAGGCAAACTATTTGAGCATCTTTGTTTATACACAGCATTCATCTTCTTCTGCCAGAGGTGATGTTAGCCTTTCTGTAAATTTGCAATTTGTCTCTCTTTTTCACCTCTTCTCTATCTGTAACACTGAATCGAAATCACATATTTTTCTGAAATGCCTTTGTTCTATTGGTGCCTCTTTTGTTGGCTTTGTCATGGTCAAAGGAGGATTTAATGACATCAGATTTTTAGAAGTGCTCATCATCCTGGCAATTTTTCTGTAGCTTATGTTGTTTAATGCCTAAGCCCATTAAATTTTAATATCAATTGGCATTCCAGTGTACAGACCTATGGTGCAGTGCAGTAATCAATCATGTATTGAGCAATAAAGAAACACTTGTACAAGAATTTACAATCCAATACGCCTAGCCTAGCCTAACCTCTGCTAGATGTGCTCTAAAATAGATGTTTTTTCCTTTCCAAGGCAATCATGCCATGAAGCTATGGTCATATCCCATCTGTCGAACTTCCTAAAGGTAGATTCTGACGGAAGAAACTGGCTGCGAATGTAACCAACCACCTGCTGTATCTGTCTGTTTGTGTTCGAACAAAACTGCTTGGCAATTGGCATAGTTGCCCTGTTGCTGAAGCAGAAGCAGGTAAGTTTCATATCTGTCAAATGGCGTTCCACGTTTGACTTATTGCCTTGTTATATTACTACAGGGGTCCGGCAGATGTCCCAAAAATATGCAGAAACTAGAGCTAATCACCATATTGTTTTCCAATGTCCAATCTAAATGACAAACAATTGCTGTTTTGAATCTCTCCTTGATTCTCCTCAAGACACCAACTCACAACAAAAAGTGCCTATCTGAACAAGCGCTTATTTTGAGCGCTCTGGAGATGCATACAATTTTTAGTGCATATGGAACTACTCTTGTTTTCAAAGCACAGCCATGGTGTCTTGGGCATGAGATGATATTACTTGATCCTAGGGAGCAATCATACAATTTCAGCTCTGCTGCCAAATAGCAACAAACTCTTTTATGGCATATTATATAAAAATATAATCTCCAGCAGTAACAAATTCACTTATGGATCCCCTGTGGAAATAACCAACAGGATTTTTTGAAGCCAATTTTTTCAGGAGTAACAAACAAATGGAACCAAAAGTCATAACTCATAACAAATGGAACGAAAAGTAATAACATATAGGCCAAGAGGCAAGGCAGATCAGCAGGCAACAATGACGTCTTTGTCTTCATTAAGCTTGAACCTTATCCCACTTGAGGGGCTTAACCACTTCCCATGTGAAGTCAGGGTCGTCTCTGCCAAAATGCCCATAGGCAGCAGTCTTCAAAAACCTGCCATTGCCACCCCGTTTGAGATCCAGGTTAATGGAGATCATGCCCGGCCTGAAATCAAAGCTCTCCTTTACAATCTTGAGAATTTCTTTGTCGGGAATCTTTCCAGTCCCATATGTATCCACAAACACAGACAAAGGCTCCGGAACACCAATGGCATATGAAACCTGCACGATGCACCTCCGAGCAAGCCCATTTGCAACAATACTCTTCGCAGCCTGCCTCACAATATAAGCTCCACTCCTATCAACCTTGGTGGGGTCTTTTCCGGAGAATGCACCACCACCATGAGCACCCCACCCACCGTAGGTGTCAATGATAATCTTGCGGCCAGTAAGTCCAGCATCACCATGAGGTCCACCAATAACAAAACGGCCAGATGGGTTAAGATGGAAGATAGTCTTCTCATCTAGATACTTCTCGGGAATAACAGGCTTGATGACATGCTCTTTAAGATCAGCAGCAATCTCATCATTAGTGACAGTCTCGTCATGTTGAGTAGAGATGAGAACAGTGTGGACCCGAATAGGGACCCTGGCACCCTTGTCATTGCGGTACTCAACAGTCACTTGGGTTTTACCATCGGGTCTCAGCCATGCACAAGTACCATTCTTTCGGACATCAGTTAATCGAGCACCAAGCTTAGTAGCAAGAACATGACTAAGAGGCATCAACTCAGGGGTTTCATCTGTAGCATAGCCAAACATGTGGCCCTGGTCACCAGCACCAATCTCCTCAGGTCGCTTGGTGAGATGCCCATGGACACCCTGGGCAATATCAGGGCTTTGCTGCTCAATGTTGACGAGGACCTTGCAGTTGTCAGCATCCAATCCCACATCATCAGAGACAAATCCGATTGCACGGCAAGTGTCACGCACAATTTTCTCATAATCTATATTGGCCTTGGTTGTGATTTCTCCAAAGACCATGACCATGTTGGTTTTGGTGCAAGTCTCACAAGCAACCTTGCTATCGGGGTCCTGTGCTAGGCAGGCATCGAGTACTGCATCGGAGACCTGGTCGCAGAGCTTGTCTGGGTGTCCCTCATTGACTGATTCGGATGTGAATAGGAAGGTCTCCATTTCTGCAAAGCTGCAGAACAAACAATTGTATCAGATCCCTCACTTTACACACAAAAGGTGAACACAAATGAACAAAAACCACTGATGACAAGTCAAATGATCTCAATACATACATACAGCCTAGAAATGTAACAGATCTTTCAATACATTTATTATTTGTGAATGCCCCTAATGACAACCGAGAAATAGTCCATTAAGTAAAGAGGACAAAAAAATATGTGCTTTAATTATGTTCTGCATTTACTTATTAAGAAATAAGTAAGGATAACGCATGGCAGCTTACAACCAAATTGTCTGTGGCAATTGTTCACAGAGAATTGCAAGGATAGAAATCGATTACAATCCAAAAATTAGGTAGTCTATGCACAAAATTGGAATAAGGACTAAGGAGAGTTAACAATAACAAAGACAAATGGTCTTCGGTAGCCGTTCATGAGAACCCAATAGTAAGTTTGGCAAATGTAATTAGTACTTGGAGCCTTCGATGAAGTCACTTAAAGAGAAAATACTTTAAAAACCAGGTACAACTGTCATAGCCAATTTCAGTTATTCCTGTTAAGAGATTAAGATGTAGTAATAATACAGTTAAGGCTTAGAAATTATAGATCTGAGAAAAGAAGCTTCCCATGCTGGAATAGGACAACGATTAGTAGATCTACCGGAACTGAGACGAGTAAGTAAAGAAAAATAATGGAAAATCACAAGAAAAGAAAGAGTAATCCAAGAAACCTTAAAATTTCCTTTCTCTTCGTTCGTTTTCGTGTTTTTTTTCCAGTAAGATTTCACTTCAGATCCACAAGTAGTACACAAGTAACACAACAGAAGAGAGGGAAATTTTCATTTTGCCACAAAAAATGGCTACATTTCATTCAGTTCAGCCCAATCACCATATGAACAGGATTTTATGCTTTCAGAATCAAAAAGAAATTGATCTGATTTTAGTATCTCTTCCGAAATGCCAAACATAAACTAGGAAAAGAAATGTGTAAAACGAACTAGTGCTACAACCAACAAACTTCCATAACAAAGCAAATCACGCACGTAAATCAACGAAAATACTCAGATCTACAAGCATTTCTTATAAACAAAAACACATCAAAACTAACTTATCAACCAAAGCACAACACTAGAGAGAAGGCAACAATACCTCGGATTCGGGGAGAGAGAGAGTGTGACAATGAGCAAGTTTTCTCAAAGCAGAGCCCTGTGAGAGAATGGCGAGTTTGAGGGGATGGAAGGGGGCGAGTTTTATAGGCAAGTGGTGGTGGGGGAGGTCCCTTGGTGTCCGCAATATGGGGTAGATTCATTAGGGATCCAGATCGACGGTTGCTGTTTGATACATGGTTTAATCATGCACGTTGGATGCGTAAGCATTGCACATGGTAACGTAATGTTAATAGTAGGAGTCGGTGGAGGAGAAGGACGCGTTTTTACCGGCTATTGCCTGGAATCCACCAAGCACCCAGCCTGTATTTCGTCCGAAGTTTTAGTAATAAACTTTAGTTCAGTTTATTTGTGATCGTTAATCATAAAATTACCTTGATATTTAAACATAAATTCCTAAAAATTTGTACCTACATAACACTTAGATTTTTATTGTCAAAGTATATCCGTTAATAAATTACACCCAGATCCTCTAAAATTTGTAAGTGTGTAATATTTAAATTCTTTAACTTTAAAATATTATACTTATACAAAAAATATTTCAATCAAAAATAAAATATCAAATATTTTAAATTTTACGACCAAAATTCATATTCTATTATGATATTTATTAAAATAAAATCAATAATAAAAACTTAATATTTTTTTTAAAAAAATCATAATTAATATACAATTATACTAATAAATAGTATAATAGATATTATGTTCATTACAGTTTGACCATTTGTTTTATTTTTTAGTTTTATTTAATAAATAGTATAATTGTGTACTAATTATAATTTTTTATAAAAAAATATTAGGTTTTTATTTTTTTATTTTATTTTAATAAATGACATAATAGAACATAAATTTTACTTATACAATTCATGTTCTATTATAAATGATTTATATCCTTTATTTGATTTTTTTAGTTTTATTTCAATAGATAGTATACAAATTACAATTTTTAAGAAAAAAATGGATTTTTATTTTTAATTTTATTTCAATAAATGATACAATACAAAATGAATTTTGGTTGTAAAATTTAAAATAATTGATATTTTATCTTTGATTGAAGTATTTTTTTGTTTAAATATAACATTTTAAGCTTAAGGGATCTACGTATTATATGTCTATAAATTTTAAGAGATTTGGGTGTAATTTATTAACAGATACACTAACGAATATTGACGACAGAGATCTAAGTATTATGCGTGTACAAATATTATGGGGTCTATGTATAATATATCAAATGTCATAGGTATAAATGATTAAGCGACAAAACTCAGGTACTTAAAATTAATGAATTAGATATTTTATTCATCTTTTTTCATTACTTCCTCTTTCTTCCTTTTATTCATTTCTTAATTTATTATTTTATTTTCTTGATTAATTTTTGGTACGAGATTATTTTAAATACTTGATATTTTTTGAGATCGTACATATTTGTTTCGGGTTAATTTGTGGATAAATTATTATATTTCAACTATATTTTTTAATCCATCCATCAATTTTTTTAACTCAACAAACTGATTAATGTCTAAAGAAAATATAAAAGGCAAAGCTATTGATTGGATAAACACTTGAAAATGCATACTAAATGAACAAGTTATGTTTGAAAGTTAATCAGAGTTGATTTTTGATCAAAAAAACCAACTCTGAATAACTTTCAAACATAACGAGTTGATTGAAATTTCAAACTAAGCACTTGAAATGATGATGATGATGAATATTCCATTTACATGGTTTAGATACCACCTGTTTGTTTTAACTTAAGACATTACGAGTATGAGGTGTGATATTTGAATGGTAATACTTCAAAATCAAAGTTGAGATGATCTAATCAAATACCAACCAACCAACCTCAGGAATTTGGACACAAAAAACTCATGGCTTGATTCAAAGACCAATGGTGTTTTGTCCATGGTTTCTTAATTTTTTTTCTTTTTTTTTTGGCTTGCTGTGATTTGGTGGGTAGGTTGGTGGGTAATGGTCATTTGTTGTCACCTTGATAGTGCCAAATACCAAACCCACCAAATCCAGTCAAAACTAAACGTAGATTTGACGAAGGTAGTTGCTTGATGTCAAAAATTAGTTACTGGTCATAGAGCCTCCACAGATACGTAAGAAATCAACCAAAGTGATTTTTCAAAGTCAGCAAAATGGGAAAAACAAAACCAAGACATTCATGGGCAAACGAGAAAGATCAATTTATTTGCATTTCCCGTTCATTCCTGTGAAGCAACCAGTAAAAAACATACCAGGAGAAACAAAAACTGGATTCCCCAGACACTACCACTAAAAAATCATTTAATTTTAAACATAAAGCGATTCCTTTTATACATGAAACATACTAATTCCTAAGTACAACCTCAACCACTTTGTCTATCTTCTATCTAAGTTCATCTCTGTTTATTCCATAGTCATATAACTAATAAGAAACAAGACTTGATGTCCTATAAAAAATTCTTGAGTCCATTTGCTCCTCGAGTTCGTGCAAGCAACCTCTGGCCTCCCCCATTCCTCCATGCATCATACTGTGGCAATCCACCACAAGTATTTGCTTTGAAATTGAATGTCTCAACCAATCTTCGGCCTCCCCCATTCCCCCACACACCATAAACTGGCAACCCACCAGAAGTATGTGCGTCGAAATTGGATGTTTCACCTGAATCGCTACGTTTAATGTCTGAAAATTTAGCCAGCGAACCATCACCCCATCGAGCTTCAGGGAACTTGGACGTTTTCTTTTTTTGTGCTTTCCCAGCACTTGAACTTTGATTAGATCCACGCCCTGTTGATTGAGACGGAAGATTCAAAGACCTAACTGAAAAACATGATTCAGAACACCCCTCATCAACGGTTATATTAGATTTTTTCTTGAAAGCACAATGACGACCATTTGATAATGCGTCACCTCTATCTTCCTTACAGTTGGATGATGAATGCAATCTGTTGACTGTACAACTAATGGCTCCCCAAAATGAACCTTCGTATCTTGCATCTGCCTCATGCCTCTCCTTATTTTCCTAGAACAATGTCTCTCGTTTGAGGGAGACATTCCAGAACGAGCATTGTAAGTATCGGCAAGCTCTTTATGCTTTGACGCATCAGGAAAGAGTATTGCCATTTCGGGGACAAGATGTGTGAGGCCAAACTGTTGTACATAGGTCAAATATTCCGCAGTATCAGTTGCACCTTCATAAAACTCACTGGATATGAATTTCAAAGCCTGGTATTTGTCCTCATCAAATTCTAGAGCAATGTGGATCCTTTCAACCATAGACTTATTTGCAGAGGACAGGTCATCCACATCTGGAGAAGAACGGTTGCTTGTGGGTGGCTTGTATTTTTCTGTTGCGGAAACAGGAGGAAAGTTAGAAGGGGAAGACTCAAATTCAGCTACTTTAGGACAAGTTGGAGGTGGCAATTTTCTAGAAGGATACTTAGAAGAACTTGCATATCTACCTCGGGTTTTGGTTGCCTGAACGGGACTAGTGTAGCGGGAAAGTGAGGGCATCTTAGTTGCCACTGGCTTAGATACGATAGATCTGAGGGTAGATGATGATAGAACTTAACATTTTCGTGATGGCTCCGAGTGAGAAGAACTTGAAATGGATGATTGTATAGGTCCATATCTAAGTGCAGGCCAAGCTTCGGATGAATCAAGAAGAATAGTTGACTCCTCTGAGTTACTTGCAGGTGTAAATTGACTGCATCTTGTCGTAGGAGGCATTGGAGGGAAGGAGGGTTCTTCTGGAGATGAACTGCTCGGATCCACTTCCGGTTCCGGGCCAAAAAGGCTACGCAAAGGCAACCCAGGATGTATCGGACGTGATATTTCGGATGGGGAAATATTGGCATTGCTTTGGTTTTTATTTTCATAATGATCAGATTGATCCTCCTTGGAACTGAATGGCAAATCATGTGATTTTAAAGTTATGTCGCTGTCGTCAGAGCTGTATGAGTTAAAGTTATGTGCATCTCGACTAATTCTTTATTCGATGAAATAAAAGACAAGTTATCTTTGTCGAAATTAGAGTATTCATGATAAATAAATATTAGGAAAATGCTATGCATACTAAAAATTTTATCAAAAAGCGTTTTTACCAAATTAGTTGACTGCTTCAAATCACTCTTGGACCCCCTAAATGTTGATCAAAATATTTTTCATTGGATATATAGTTGCCAACTTATTTAGTTAAAATACTTTTTGGTAAGGAAAGTGTAAGGGATAAAAATTAAGAAAACCTCTTACAAGAAAAAGATTGAATATTTCTGATAAGAGTGAGTTCTGAACTTGATCTCCCAATCTTTGCTTATTGCAAAACGAACAAACTATCCAAGATCGAAATGCTTTGATCGAAGACATTCCTATGCTTAAGTCAGTAATGGAACTGAGACAATTGCAAGAAGACAAGGAGAGTTCAGCATGTCGTTCACCCTTAGCTTCTTTTGGTTTTTATTGACCTTGTTCAGTTAGGGTTTTCATGAATTTTGATTTAAGGTGGTACACCTTTCTCCAATTAAGCAATTCAGTTTAAAAAGCTGCTAAAATCTCTCCGGCAATTCCCTTGGCCTATAATTAAACTTATTAGCTTATCTTGTATGCCTAAGTTTTTGGCGAATCTTTATCTTTTCATTTACTGTTTCAAATCAGCTCGGTCATGTCGAGGACCGAGCTCTTTCGTTACACACTGAACACCTTGACTAGGGCCGAGCTCTTTCATTGCTCCCTGACTCATTAAACGACACGATTTGGTAAGTGTTAAGCTCTCTCTTTGCTTGCCGAGCTTATTGACCAGTTCAGCTAGGTCTGTTTGACTCAGTGACTTATGCCTCTCTCATGTGTCTTGTCTTGTCATCCTCACGTGAGCTTATTAAATATCATGACACGTGTAATAAAGGGAGCAACCCCCTTCACTTGCCCCCAGAAAACATCTGACAGACGTCTTTTCGTCTGTCAGCCGTTTTATGTCTCCTCATCATCATTGCGTGTACTTCGTGACATCCCCCTTTGTTTTGGCGGCTTACTATGTATTCAAATATTGCCTTTTAGCATTCTCTTTCTTTATAAACGATTTCTCTTCATTTTTCTATCACTTTGCCTTCTTAGTCTCAGATTCATCTCTTTCTTTGTATCTGCACCACCTTTCTTCTTTCTGCGTTCATCTTCCTCAATGGCCCCTCTCACACCCTCTGAAATTCCTGCTTTCAAAACTAAATACAACATTTCAGACGATGTTGAGGTAAAGGTTGCTGGAAAAGATCATCCTCTGATTGGAACAAGAAAGAGAATTCCAATTTATACTCGAGCGATCACTGAAAGGCGGTGTGCGCTTCCCACTTGACCCATTGCTCCTTTGGATTCTGTTAACCATGAAGTTGTGCCCCATCCAGTGCTGCCCCAATTTCTTCAGAATAGTGATGGCGTGGCAGCTTTAAACAAGTTTCTAAACTTGGGCTTAGGATTGTGAGAGATCTTATACTACTACATCCTCAAACCGGCTGGGGATAACTATTACCTTGCGCTGAGGAAGAAGGATCGCTACGTGGTAACTCATCTCTCAGATTCCAACAAGGGTTATGAGAATGACATTGTGTTCGTTTCTGAAAACTGGGAGTATGTTGTTGATGTTGTTCCATCCTATCGTTATTCTTATGAAGAAAGTGCTCCAGGTATTTGAATTTTTAACCCTTCTCAATTATCTCATTTGCTTACTATTTTTTGATGAGTTTTCTTTTGCTTGAAGGCGAGACTATGAGGGCAGAATCCTTGAGTCATCTGTGAAAATGGATTAACTTCAAAAAGTCTGGGACTACAACTAATCTCTGTTCTGTCGAGCTGCACATGCCCTACTCAGGTATATTTCAACCTACACTTCTTTCATTGCAGTTTCGAGCTAACCCAATGCTACCTTGGCCACAGATCGGGAGGCCATCCAGACTGCTCGAGATCAGACCCCCCCCCCCCGAACACGAAAGAAGTCTTCTCTTGCAGCTTCTGGGTGCAGAACGGTGAAGATTTTTTTGGATTTTTTATCAATTGTAGAGCCAACCCCATCCACCGAACCAATTCCAACAACTTCTGTGCCTTCCATTCTTGTTCTTGAGGAACCTACTTCTGAGGCCCCTGTCGAGATAGTTTTTGAAGATGGTGCAACTCTGCCATTTAGTACCCAAGCAGACCTGGCCAAAAATGTTGAAACTTCAATTCCAGCTGAGTTAGATCCTTCGATTTTTGTCTGTTCCCCTTCTCCACAAAATGATTCAATTTTTGAACTTGCCGAAGACCCGGCCCCAAAGGAGCGAAAGATTGTTGAGCCCGAGGTGAGTCTTTCTCCCAAACCAGTGAATCCTCCTTTTCGATCAGTTCTTAGGGCTAAAAGGAGAAAAATTATTACAAAGGATTCCGTAATAGAGGATTTTAACGTTGCAGTGGTGATTGTTCGGGGAGTGATCTTGTCTCGGGACTTGGCTATAAACGAGGCTCTTACTGATGACGAAGTGTCTCATTAAGCCATTCAGCATATGGTTTTTGGTAATACTTTTTAACTCGTTCTTTCGTTCTTTCATTCTTTCCCACTTTTCTTTGAAATTTTTCTAAGTCTTCTTCCAATCTTAAGGGTCTGCAAAAAGTCCATGAAGTCGGGGCAAGAATAGCCCGAAAGGACAAGGCGATGAAAAATGTTATCCATGCCCGAGCTTCAGCCCTGGCCAAGAAAGAGTCGATGGATGAAGAATACTCCAAGCTTTCTGAGGAAGTTTCAACTCTTCAAGCTCAAAATCATAGCCTGATAGAAGAGAATAAGAAGCTTTCTTCAAAAGTTGAAAACTTAAAGGAGTCTGAACATGAGGCCATTGTAGAGCTTTCTCAATCACAACTGGACTTCTCTAGCCTTCTAGAAGAGTTTGATCAATTCAAAACTGATGCAAAGGAGAGAGAAGACTCTGCATAAGATGAGGGGATCAAGAAGACAGAAAATGATCTTACCTTATAGATCCCTCAACTCTGAGAAGCTTTTTTCAACAAGGGATGATACGCTGCTCTGGTTGCTGCGGGGGTTCTTTCTTCCTAACTGTTTTCCAAGCATTCCTTCCAAGTTCTTCCTAACCTCCAGCTTCCTGACATACTTAGGATATTTTTTGTAACTTTTGATGTTCACTGATTTGTGTACTTTTTGAAATTTGAATGAAAATCTCCTTTTGTCATTCTTGTTTCTGTAGTTACTTTGTGAAGTTTGAATGAAAACCACGTATTGTATCTTGCTTGGCCTCTCTTGAAATTATAGCTTTTGCTCGGCTCTTTTTCAAAGAGCTCGGTTCCTCAATAGGAACCTAAGTATACTTAGAGAAATTTTATCTCTTGAAGTTATGGCCCTTTGCTCGGCCCTTCTCTAAAGAGTTCGGTTTCTCAATAGGAACCTAAGCATACTTAGAGAAATTTTATCTCTTGAAGTTATGGCCCTTTACTTAGCCCTTCTTCAAAGAGCTCAGTTTCCCAATAGGAATCTAAATATACTTAAAAAAATATCATCTCTTGAAGTTATGGCCGTTGCTCGGCCTTTCTTCAAAGAGTTTAGTTCCTCAATAGGAATCTAAACATACTTAGAAAGAATTTCATCTCTTAAAGTTATGGCGTTTGTTCGGCCCTTCTTCAAAGAGTTCGATTTCTCAATAGGAACCTAAACATAGAAAAAAATTCTTCTCTTGAAGTTATGACACTTCATCGGCCCTTCTTCAAAGAGTTCAATTTCCTGATAGAGTTACTCATAGTCTCCTTGGGCATCTAAGAGAGTTTCTAATCTGCACCGACCCGTCAATCTGATTAAACTCAAATCCATCTTTATTCAACTTACATCGTCATACCTAGCTAAGAGTTTGGATTAGATTAGATGGTTGCGCCTGATTTAAGTTTGTAACTTCTATCAGGATTTTTTGTCTCCTGTCTTAGTAGTAGGATGTACATATCAAGGAAAGAAAAGCGAGAATAAGGTGATCTCCAAAAAGTCTTTTATTAATAACTTCTGCTCATATCAGTACATTTTGCTCAACACTTATTCATTCTTAAGGGGCACCCTTAAGCTTCCAAAGGTACTTCGGAGTTCTATCTAAAAAGGTACTTTTTAGAAATAGAACTGTCTCAAATTAGCAGAGTTCTAGGGGTGTGGTACCGCTTTACCGTCTAAGGTCTCGAGCTCGTAATAACCACTGTCTCATACTTGGGACACCCTGTATGGACCCTCTCGGTTTGCTCCAAGCTTTCCATGGGTTGGGTTTTGAGATGATCCCAGTATCCGCCTTAGAACCAAGTCTCCCAGCATGAAAGATCTAGGATTGGCGTTTCTGTTATAGGCACGGGACATTTGATGTCGATAAGAAGTCATCCATAGAGTTGCTTGTTCTTTTTTCTCCTCTGTTAGATCGAGATCTCGGGTGATAACAACACTGTTGTTATTGCTTTCAACCAGCTCGATTCTCAAGGTTGGTAAATCGATCTCTAACAGAATTACTGCTTTC